CAGTTACAGAGCCGGCCAAGTAGTTTCAAAAGGCGAATGCGAGCCAGTTGTTTGTCTCTTCTGGAGACTGTAAAAGAAGACCGTTACAGGGTAGAGCAAGAGCTGTAGAATGCGAGATTTGGCAAAATCTTTCGGTACTTCTGAACCGCCGCATCACCTTCTCCATCAGTACAACACCAAAATCGATGGTCACACTGTGCAAACCACTGCATTCTTATGTTCTTCCCAGCCAACGCTCTTATACACAATCAACCTCAGCTATTTCACAGAGGAACTTTTCTCAAACAAGGATTTGTGTGGAACTGCACAGCGGATTAAACAATGACCGAACAGGCTCTGCTTACACGCCTTATGCCATGGATATTATAGTTGACAGAGTTTCTAGGATGAAGTGATAGGTTGTTAGGTCATTATCGCTCATCCAGCTCCAACCTTTTGAAATAAAACGAAGAAACGCAATAGTTCAGATCTGGACTATACTGAAGCTAACAGAGCAATATCGTCAGCACACTTCAAGCACGTACTGGTATGATGAACAGTGCGGGTGAAAAAGGATCGTTGTGTGACCCTTTACGTTATGAGGTAAGGTATTGATTTCTTTTTGTCCACCTGAAGATACTGTCGGAAACTCGAGCAACACGTGTCCAGAAGGTTGACAACGCCAGACTCCACAATGATTCTGGCCAACAGTCTGAAAGGAGCTGAAGTCTCGGCAGTCGGCTGAAGATGGAAAATGCTAATACTTGGACGAAAAGAAGGGGACAACCGGATGATGCTTGATGGATGATACCTTGGAATGGAAAGAAAATAACATCGTTCGCGTCATTCTGGTGGTTAAGACCTGGGAGTTTGTTTCCAAATTTGTTTTTATTCATTTTATGCCATGTACAGAGTGACATCAGTTTAAACTTAAACAATCTGGCGATCAAGCTTTTGATTTTTGTATGACGTGGTACTCATATCAATGCCTAAAAAATCATTGAATATACTTTACAAATTTCATGATGCAGGGACAGCCCAATGAGCTTACAGTCTGCCGACTTCGTGTCATCGAAATGAGTGTCAAATGCATATACACCAAAAACTCGACGATGCAACCTGGATGTGCCTGATCTATGATCGACCAGATGTGACTACTTTACTTTAGAGAGTCGTAAAGGAGGCGAATTACCTCACAAGGCTATGCTTAGGACTGGGTAATTATTGTTTGTCTCTAAGTTTCACATTTTTTTCAACGAAGTCTAGCAGGGTTTCCAAATTTTTTCGAGGATGGACTACCGCAAATCTGCTGAAAAATTATTCGTTTCACTGATATCCACTTACTCCATCTTAACGGATCCATTTTAATCCATCTCAAATCCATGAGCATTTTCTTATTACTAGCCGCTTAAGTGTTCAATAGATCGCAGTTCGGTCATTTTCTTCTTTGAACAATCTCTTTTTTCAGCCTGATTCTAATCCGTGTGGCTGGTTGTTCAACTACTCTCGCGAATACCATGTGTATTCAGTTACAGCATGTACAAATTACTGGATTTGCCGCCGATTTGTTCCTAATTCTTTCTGTTCAGATAATGAGAACCTGTTCAGTTTGGAAACCTTCGCTTATTACCACCTTGATCTCCCCAAGAAGGCTAAGTCGGGTGTTTGCGGTGGCATAATGACGTGGATCAACTTCATCTGGTTTGCAAACTGTTCCAAAAAGTGAAAGCTCTGAGAAGACGATCTGTACTGTCTTT